TACAGATGTGGCAATTGTCACACCACGCTGGTGTGCAATATTCCTGAACCGGCAATATTCTGGCTGGGTCGTAGGATTATCAGACCATTATCAGATGTCAATGATGTTGACTCTGACCCTCGTTTTCTTTTTCTGCCTAAGGTGCCACTGATAGCTAAGGGTCCAATACAACGTTACTCCGTTATGTCCTGGATTTTGTACTTTGGATAAAAACACATCACAAAGCTTCGAGTTGATCGCAGCTGTGGCTTCCCTGTTGCTCACGTTGAAAATGGACATCAGTGACGTAGGCGTTTCGGGTTTGAAGAGTAGAAATATTATAAAACTAAACAAAAACACTGATTGAAACCACGAAACGTAAGCACTGCATGAAGAGAAATGTCACGGACAGTAACTAATACATTATTACTATTTACTGTAACGCATTATTTTCACGGTTAACCTCCGTCACCATGGGCAAAATGATCATTGTTACTATAAATACCCATTGAATGACCCATTGAATGTAATGTTAGAACATTTCACTATGCCGTCTGCCTCTTGAATGGAGGATGGTAACTCATCAGAAAAATCCAGATCCGCACAAAAAACTTTACCAACTCCTTTTCAACGACTAAAGCCTGTGCGGCACGACTCAAAGTTGTCATCGCGCCTTCATTCTATCGAACGGAGCTAGACACTTGTCATTCAAGTCGTCCTTCCACTGCTAAAGAGGAGAGACAAAAATAACGACCTACGTGTTTAAATGAACTAAAAATAACCCCAACAACCGATTCAAAAGTACCGCGTCATCGCAAGCAACGCATCGATAAAAACGTGGAGGCAGTTCCTCGCTTTCGGCCTCACCGCCTTGCAGAGGAGTTCGTAAAGAACACCACTCTGACCTTACAGATAGATTATGCGAAAAGTTCGCGAGTTTCAGTTTGTTTAAGCCCCCCTCCCATCCGCCGATTTTCTAAAACTTGATGTCCAACGATGCACTCCAAGTCGACGGTTTCGAACCTGCTGGTAGAGATCACGCGATAACTCACCAACCGAAGCCAGTGCTACACCGCAAAAGAGCTTAGCAGCGTGGCACACACGACCGATGGAACCGCTTCGGTCTGGATGTGGAAGTCCTCGTTGAATATGAATTACTACCGTGGCATGGATTGAATAAACGAACCGTAGAATGGGCCACGTATTCGCCAATGGAGGGTGAGGTGAATAGAAACATCGTTTCCGTTGACCATCATCCCTCTGTTCAGTCGAACTCACCTGATTTTACGTTACAAGCGCGAACATCCTCAGTACAGTTGTCTTTGTCATCTGTGATTAACATTTAAATTTGCGTATGCAAACGAAAACTGTCAGCAAAGTAACAAAAGACTTTTAACGCATGATAAAGTGTAAAGTCGGAGTTTAATTCTAGCCAAATTCGAATCGATCGCCCTAGTTAGTCGAAGTGCTTATCGGTGGGGGAGGGAGGGGGGTTAGCCAAGTAGCAAACGATGCAGAGTCGATGTTTCTCTCAATCCATCAAGTTTGCTCGACGACAGTAGTCAGGATTTGCATAGCCGAAATCGGTGCTACGCACCACCGTTACCTCCTTACCTCAGCCTCAGGCGGACAATTCAAAAGATAGCCTCGAAATAGTCCACTTCCGCTTGAAACGGTTCATCAACGCCATGAATCTATCTTCGATCGCATCTGTCACGTGCGATGCGATGGTCCTTGGTTGGTCGCGTCAGCAGCACGCGGCAGCGATTGGCGCCATGCTTCATTGACTCGGCGTCTACGGACGGAAAACCAGGACAATTCGAGCAATCGGATAATCAGCACGACAAGGTAACTAAAATCGAATCGAGGCACAGCGATCACACGGCGAAACGAAGTCAGTGCCTGCCACCACCGTTCACCGAAGCAGTCGAAAGTTCATAGCCTCGAATGCCTTCCCTCCCCTATCCCTTCCCCTAATGCCTGTGAAGAAAGCACGAAGCGCTATCATGGATGTGTAGCCATAGACAATGCTTAATAATGAGGCACTCTTAACTGACGGTGTCTGAACGGAGTCAGCGCCGTACCCTAAATTCCAAACGACAACGAATGGTTGTCGTTGCCGTTTGTTGAAATCATCACCCTGAGCAGGCGCTTGCATAAGCAAAGAACGTCTCTGGCTTGTGATGGCCGCTGTATCCGCAGCACTTCAGCACTTCTCCTATACGGCACCAATTCGGCATCGCACAGGGAAATATTCCTCTCCGGAAGCACATCTACCTCTTTTTTATTCCTCCATGTTGTACGCTGACTTCCCGGTCTACGCCTACCGTGTTTCGACCTCCAGGCGAGTAGCTCCCGGGTTGTAGTAAATGGTCAATCAGTTGGTGTAACACGGCGAACCTTCTTTTCTTAATCTCCCCGTAAGAGAATAGGGTAATTCCATACGTAGTTCTGCCATTTAACTATTACTGCGCGTTGAAGCCAGCGTTGCTGGACACAGTTTAACCGTCCTTCTTGCTCCTTCGTTCGAACAAGTTTCTCCATGCAGTACAACAACACCGACCTGAGAGACGCAAGGTACAGGCGGATGTTCGCGAAAACAGTTACTCCTTTCTCAGCTCAGATTTGAGCAGGTTTCCAAAAGCACTCGAGGCTAGGGAAATCCTTCTGTGTAACTTTCGTTCGGTTTTACCATCTCTTGAGATGATTTAGCCGAGATACTTAAATTGGACAACCTCCTGAATGGTTTCACTTTCCTGTTCCACTTGTAGACCAGCTGCCGGCAAATGGTGCCAGTTATGGAAGCTTTACGCAAATCGGTATTACATCCTTTGCAAAGTTTTTCCTTTCCTTTTGGGCTAGGTTCAGAATCAAAAAGGAAAATGACCTTTAAACAACTTGTTAAACTCATACCGGTACTCGATGACTGGAAACAATGACGTTTTCTGATTCTGTTTAACAGAAAGTTCCTTATCTGATCAATGAGGTATTCGTGCTGTTAACTATTAAATAATAAGGTGTGCCCCCTTCCAGTTATGCTTGACACGATATCGGTATGAATTCAAGAAACCACGTAAGCGAATAGTACAGTGAAAATCCGTTTGCCGGTGTCAACAGGCTTATTCAAGTCAAGGTTCTTTTCTTGAGCGACATGGGAAATTCAACTCGATTTTGGGCTAAGCGATTAATGATTGATTATCTTTCAAAGCTATTTCTGAGGAAGCAATTTTTGAGGATCTGTGTTAAAGAAGGAACTTCTTCTTCTCTTTCGTCTGGATAAACATGGTATCAGAAGGTGCACCACTTCGAGGAAACAGAGAAACATATTTCATTTATAAGTAAAAGATGATCAAACAAAATTTCGATTTTCAAATGTGGGCGAGGCGACACAGTCAACTTTGAACTTCAAAGGCGCCAGGTTGAACTAACGAGAGAAATACAAATATTGTTTTAACCGATAATTCCGTCGAGCCAGGAATTTTCCCACATTGCTTCGATGCAATCAGCCAGCAAAATGAAGGTTGACCGCTGACTTGCGAACAACAATGACAGTATGGTATTCTGGTGTAGCATCAGAACGAACGAGATGCACGGCCATGTTGGTCGATGCGAGCGCCTCTTGTAGCGACATTTCACCTTGTCCCGTCCGATAGCTGGTTGCAGAGTATGAAAAATTATCTAAAACATAACCCATCCAAATAGCTGAAATATGACAGGATGTTCCCCAGGAATAGAAAAATAATGAAGAGCTTTGGAATCACAATTCGTATTGATCAGCGAAGAAGGCATGCCAAAATGTTTTCACGCTGAACCGACGAAAAAGATATGTGATCGATCTGAAGGGAGATTTTAAATAATGCTGAATGGATGACATTAAAAAATTGAAAAGAAACAACATCATTCATGTTGTTACTTAAACTGTCAGAAACAAAACCACGAAAAACGGCACAGAATCGCAGAGAGAATTGATCATGCTGCCTTGTGAGCAGTGAGCAGTAGACGACATTGCTCACTATCACAGTACTGAGTTAAAACGATTAACATATCCGTATGCAATAGATATAATAATGGAAGTGGGAAAACTACAGAGAAACTAGTGTGCTCAATCATTCAGGGTGAGGGTTAGCATTCGCAATGCAATGAAAGCTAGCGAATAAAAGAAATAGTCAATTATGATCAGATCAGATTCATTTCTCGTCACTTAATCATAAATAAACTATTTTCATTATTGCAAGTGACACAGGAGTGCAGAGATACCAAAAAACAATTTACATAGAAAATGCTCATTGATTCAACAACACTGCGCAATATTTTCAAATAAGATAATTAAGGAAAAAGTTTTCCGATTTAACGGCTGTAAGCTTAAGGAAGATTTACATAGAAAAAGACTTTAATTTAGACCGATATTTTGCACAGAAAGCGCATTTTCCATAACGAAGACCCATGAAGAAGAAGAAAATAAAGAGCATGAGAAGCAAAAGAAACAGAGGAAAGAGAAGAGGAACAAAAGTTGAAGATTTATTGGTATAAGCTAACTTCAAAAGTCGGCCAAAATTTATGGCTATTTATGGCTTTATATATTGACCACTCGAATTGTATATGTGCACAAAAGACATCTGCATAAACATGATATATACAACAGTGAAAGAGTAAAAATAATAATGAGTCAACAAGAAGGGTTGATCGACGATTCGAAGGTCGGAGTAGGTTCAATTTTAATAAAAGAACCTATTTGCTCCTGCTGATTGGGCATCGGATGATAAAATGTATCGAAGATTTCTGAAAAGCCTTTGTTCTACATCGAATCAGCTCGAAGACATCTCGTAGTTGCCATTTTGGAGTCTAGTCGAAGACTTTCCAAGGTCAGCTATGAGCATTTCGCCAAATTTAGCGACCCCGTATACAACAGTGGCAGCCGTCTGTCTTACCAGATCTTCAATGGCTAACTAGCTCTGGTAGAAGAAGAACCTGTGTCTGTTTTCAATAGGCATGAAGCCGCTGAAGTAGGTGCTCGCCACATGGAGAAGTAATGATATTATGCAAAACTGGCTGAAGAGCTGAAGCATTTTTTAGTTCATGTTTTAGTTCCATGTCTTTCGGAGTAGAAGGAATTGAAAAGTGTGAATATTCATCTTTTATACTCACCTCGAAACGTCGATAAGTTGCGCAATAAAGTGTATATGCGGAATAATCCCTTAAAAGACATGA